CCCCAAAACCCCAAAACCCCAAAACCCCTTTGGGATGAGTTTTTGTTGAAATTTATTTAGTGTTGGTGGTTGGTGGATCTGTTGTTGGATCTTAGTGGTCTTGTCTGTTTGTGATGGTTGACTGTATTGAATGAGTTCATTGAAGATGTTCTTTTGGTTAACCTGAGTTGCTCTGTGTTTATGATTAAAAAAGAGATTTTATCTTAAGTAATAATTTAGGTAAAAATGCGAATTTTCCACATTTTCCAAAATATCAAACTCATACAATAACCCCTCTCGAAGCCCACACTCACCTCCTCCTTCCGCTTCCTCTTCATCCTTCTCTCCATTATCCATTCTCTTCTCTACCTCCTCTTGTTGAATCTCTTGGTCTTCTTCTTGCTTCTCTGCTGTCTCTAGTATCTCAATGTCATTCTCTTCTCTTAAGACTTCAATAATCTTCAGGTCTTTTAGCTATATAAGGTTCAGAGGAAGTCTTACGTCTCTGTATAACTGGAGTTCTTCATCCTAAAGAGTTATAAGTTGGCGAAATACCTTCTCTCGCAATATTTCTCTGAGCCTGTACAATGACTTTAATTACTTACTTATTAAGCTGCTTCTTTGACTTCCTGTATTTCTTCAACTTTGTGCTGGTCTTTTTCAGATCTTCTTCAGTTACATCTAAATCTTAGCAACAGAACTTATAAACCAAGGGAAGAGATCTATAAAGTTTTGTGTAGTTCTGTAAAATGCCTGAAGAAATTTTGTAAAGGAGAGAAATTTATTCTTTAATCTGGTTCATAAGTGCTGATAATATAAAAAAAAGTGCTGAAAAGTGATGGTCACCTTAAAATGATTAAATAGGGTTGATTTTATTAGATAGTTTGAAGTAGAAGCTTTATTCCATTTGGCTGACCATTTTAACAATTTATAAACTAAAGTGCTCAAACTCATTTCACTTGAATTATAAAGTATGCCATACCAAGCTGATCTTTGAGTTTTTCTATTTTCTTCTTAAGTTTCAAGTTTTCATAGTTCTTTTTCTCAACTTCTGCTTGCTGATCTTGTAGATCTTTCCTAAGCTTCTTTACAAAAATATCTTTCTCTACAAAATTAGCTTCTAAAAACACCTTTCTGGAACAAGTTGAATTCCTCATCATCTCTTTGGTATCTTTTCGCTAATTTTTCTTTTAATTTTCTAGAATATAACCAATCAACTCACTTAACATCCTCCTGCAATCTATCTATCCTATCATCTCTCACTCCAATCTCTCCTCTAAGCTGTCTGATCTCAGCCTTATTCAAAAACTCATTTCTCTCCAAACAGTCCTTATACCTTCTAAATATTAACACTCGAACACCTACGTGACCAGTCTGAGTTGTTCATCCAGATGCTGTCACTTTACTTCATAATCCGTATCTAAACTTCTTAAGCTAGTTTGCTTACTCTCTTGGAGTAATTTGTCACGTTGTTTCCAGAGAGTTTTGAGGTCTTCTTCGTGCTGGTCTATATCGGTTATTTTTAGAGTTTTTAAAAGAGGGAGTACCGAGAAGTTCCTTCATGGACTCAACCTGGTTATTTGTAATGTCTGTTTTCTTTAGTTATAGCTGGTCATTATTGATTTGGTGCTCGGAGAGTTCGAAGTTGAGGTTCTTTGTCGTCCTAGGGGTTAAGAGGTTAAGTACTTTAGTAATACTTCTTTTTGCTCAGTGAGTTCAAGCTTTTTGTTTGATATGTTCACAGGTAACTATGAAGTGAAGTTAGGCTGGTGGGTGTATTAAGAAGGCTAGGGAAACGAGAGATATGACTTAAAGTGTTAAGAGGTAAAGATCATGATTTTAAGGATTTAGGTGAATCACATAAGATATCTTGGTGAACACCACAAGCGCCATTTCTTTACTGCTTGCTTTGCATCTTTTAATAAGTATTCTTACAGTCTCACAAAATGTTACTTCGTCTATAGAATGAGTTATATCGATGGGATTATCAGGGTACAGAATATTAAAATAGAAAATTGGTCCAATTTATAAACAATTCTTAAAATTTCCATCCATACCATCGGTTTCACTGCTAGACATTTTAAATTTAATTTATTTTAAATTTAAACTCTCCTTGGGGTTTTGGGGTTTTGGGGTTTTGGGGTTTTGGGG